CTGACAGTGGTTCAGCCATAGCTCATCTGGGAAAGATGCAGATTTATTAAACAGTGTATTATTTTTCCCTTAGACCATTTTGGGATTTGGGAAAGTATTTTAAATTTAAATTCATTAAACAATTTATTTGTGCACTTAAAAAAATCATTTCTTTAATAATTATACACATACACACACATACATATAAAATATATATATATATATATATATATATATATATATATATATAATCAGTCAGTCAGTCAGTTATGTGTCATGGATTATACATGCTTAGGCAATCATGTATCTTTTGATACATGACTGACGAGGCAGATTATTTTTCCATAGTAGGTTGGCATTTCTTTCTGCAGTAGACCAGTTGCCATCCAAGGCTATAGAACCTGGTCTGTCATGCTATTTATCCATAGCTGGCGGGGAGAAGAAGAGGATTCATACCTTTCCCAAGGGTATCAGCATGGAAGTGAATGTAATGGATTCAACTGGAATTCAAACTTGAATATCTAATTCCTCAATCAAAACCGCTATCCAGTACTTCACTGTGCCTAAGATAAAAAAAAAACAAATAAGAAATCTTTATCAATCTAACGTGTTTTACTTTTATTAACACCTCCACAGTGAATGAGCTATGGAGAAAGAAATTTTGGTATTTTTACTTTTGTGTTGTTTGATTTTCATTGGTCAGTTATGTTTGATATGTATTTGTATCTTTAAACCAACATTAGTATAATTTGTAACATTCTGAATTCAAGGAGAGATGACATGACCATCTGATGTTTCAAGAAATTAATGAATTCCAAGCCTACCTCCATAAAGAATGTACTCTATGTGTGTACTCTATCTGGTGCAGCTGCAGAAAGAAATATAAAGGGAAGACAGATTGCCCCCTTAAGGTAACGCTTCAAGAACACCAGAAACCTGTAATATGAGAGGAAGCGGAAAAATCAGGCATAGCTGACCCCATATGGAGAGAAAAGGGTGATCACCACCATCTGTGGGATCAAGTTGAGATCATACACAAAGAACATCATTGGAAAATTTGTACACTTAAGGAATCAGCACATATGCTAGGCCACAAAAATCTCCTGAGCTGACCAAGCATAGAAATGAATACAATATGGGAACCAGCAATAAGGAGTGCCAGAGAAAAGTGATAGGAACAACAAAAATTGCAATATGAGCTCTGGTAAAAACCATGCAATGATAACAGCAGAAATTGCAATATGAGAACTGGTAAAAAATGATTGCTGAAGACATTATGTTTATAATACCCAGAAATTTATACACAGATGTCCTCATATTGCACAGTAGATAAAGTCATTAGTTAGATCCAGTGACAGGATACAGAGTGTGAGTTCAATACTTAGTTAAGGCAGTGGAGAAGTTGGAGAGGGGAATTAACAGGAGATAACTGACATCCATTATACATGGCACGTGGAACTAGAACTGTCTACCTCAGTGAACGAAATAAAGGGTTCAATTCGACATTCCAACCACCTGAAAAAGGCTGGAGCATACAACAGCTAAAACGTTGTGATAAACATGGCAACAAAGATGATGACAATAGTTCGAATAATGTAAATAGTATATAAAGAATTATGTTTTTTTTTTAATTAGAGTGGCATTAGTAAAATCAAAGTCATGTTATTAAAAATGGAGAAAGTATTTTGATATCCTACTAATAACAATACTACGAACTATAAACACATGTCAAAAACATTATATCACGTCACCAACCTCTATTGAATCCATTCTTAAAGAATTCAATGTATGTTTATCTAAAACAAATGGTATGTATGTAAAAACATTCCGAAACCAATGTGCCAAAAAAACTAACAAACATAATATATACTAGACATATACATATACACTTAAAAATATACATTATCATCTGATACTCATATAAAAAATTAGAATTTTATACACTTATATACATATAGCAATATTTATGGTTTTTCAGGTAGGCTTGGAATCCATTAATTTCTTGAACCTTTGGATGGACAAGTCATCTCTCCTTGAATTCAAAATGCCACAAATTATACTAATGTTGATTTAAAGAGTTGAATGCATGTGAAACATGATTGACCAATGAAGATCAAACAACACAAGTAAAAATACAAGAATTTATTTCTTCTTTTTCTTCATATCTCATTCTCTGATGAAGCTTTAATAAAAGGGAAACATGTTAGATTGATAAACGTTTCCTATTTGTTCTTTATCTTATCATTCTGTTGGATTCTGATCAATATTTGATCCCAACTCATATACATTATATATATATATATATATATATATATATATATATATATATATATACATGTTTCATTAAGAAGAAGGGGATAGAGGGGATAGAAGATAATAAAAAGAAGAAGAAGAAGAAAAAGGGGATGGAGTGGGTAGAAGATAATAATAGTAATAATAAGAAGGAGAAGATGGGATAGAGGGGATAGAAAATAATAATAATAATAATAATAAGTGTTTATTTATATATATATATATATATAAAAACATGCTTACAACAACATCATGTTGAAACACTAATATTCAAATGATCACTGAAGTTAAGCAATGTTGAGCCTGGTCAGTACCTATCTGGATGGGTTACCACTTGGGAATACCAGGTACCATAAGCTTGGTTGTGCAGGTGATGTAATGGATAATAGCTGAGTTCCAGTTCAAGCTGGGTTCATTAAATTCCCTTAGAAATCATAAAATGATACAATACCACAAAATGACACATGAAGACATGATACTTCAAAAAAACCTAAAATGATATTCACCACCACATGAAGATGTGGCACTGAAACATTACCAAAGAAACTTAATGCGTACTTACAGATATAACCCTCTCAACTCACAAAAATTATTTGATAATTGCTTATGAAAGACTAAAGCATTCAAAAGACATTGGACAGTTTATGCTCAAATTTTCACTGGAAACTACAAAAATGGTCTAAATTGATAAAAACATAATTTAAAAATCTCTGTCAAGCAAAAAATGTTTCACTTGTCTTTAATCAAACTTGCATCAATTGTATAAAATTGTAAAGATAAGCAATGATGTTATTCAGGACTTTAAATTCATATTTTTTCATGTACACACACACACACACACACACACACATATATATATATATATATATATATATATATATATATATATATATATATATATATATAGAGAGAGAGAGAGAGAAAGGAGAGATTCAAACATTATTTTAATGCATATTTGGATTTGAAATAGATACCTCATTTTTATTTTAAACAGTGTATGTTACATCTATTGGCATGCCATTTAAAAAATCTCAAAGAAAATAGAAACAAAAAGGACACTTATACTTACCATCAGAAAGTAACAGTTGCAATTTTTAGTGCACATAATGAGGAAAGAGGGCTTGGGAAGTTTGATACTTCCAGAACAGGTTTAAGTCAAGAGGCATAAAAGAATTAACCTACCTAGGAAGCTTGAGTAAATGGATTGTAGAACTGGGTTTAAGAAAGATAGCAAAAAGATAAAATTTATTAAGTGCTACAAAGGACAGGAAATTGTGGTGAGCCATGATTGCGAACATCCTGAAAGGACGACTCACAGAAGAAGCACCTCTCCAGCAGGGACTGAACATGCATTTTGCTTTATAGGAGAAACCTGTTAAATCTGACATGCTTTACTGCTCAGCTACAGTGAGCATCACAGTCCAACATGGTTGTATTTCCCATTTTAAGGAAAGCACATATTCTCACTCAGATATTTTTATCAAAACCCTTTATCTGCTCAGTTTCATATTCGAAATGTAAGCAAGGCAATTTGTAAAGAGTTAATGGATTTATTTTTAATCTGACATTTTTATTATTTCAAACATTATTACAGTGGAGACTCATATTTAGAATAGATGTCTCAATTTTATTTTAAAGAGTTTGTATTACATCTATCGATTTGTGCATTCAAGAAATCTCAAACAAAAGCTCTCTGGCAGGGATCAAACTTGCATCTACATTTGTAGGAGAAATCCCTGTTTGATCTGGTGTAATTTACTGCTTGATTGTTGTTGTGCGTGAATGAGTATATAAGAGAGTAATTAAGAATCATTTATAAAATCATCTTAGACATATTCTAATTAATGTATTCATAAAAAAAATCAATTATATTTAAAATCATATTCAAAAATATGACCTCATACTTTTAAAATCCCAAATAATCAAGTTTACTCATCTGCACCTTGGAAAAATAGCTGAAAAATTGTTTTATCATCAGTTGATTCTGGAAAATATTTAATATTGCCCAGTGGATAAAAAGCATTGGTTCAGTGATCCAAAAAGTAACTTAACCCAAAGAGTCATGAGTTCAATACCTGAGCACAGCAGAGGGAATAAAAAACTTGAAGAGTTGCGTTACTAAAGGGAAATAACTGAAACTGAGATATCAAAAAAAAACATGTGAAACTAGAACAATCTACTCTCATGGACTAAATAAAGGATTCAGCTCAAAATTTCAATATATCTGAACCAGTCCGGAGTGTACAACAACTGAAATATCATAAATATGATAATAAAGATGAGGACAACAGTCTGAATGATCTAAAAAGTGTAAATAATATATTTCTGCTTTTAATCAACTCCTGGTTCTGATTAATGACATTCCTGGAAATGACAAGAATGATTTTTAAATTCCTAAAAACAAAGCAAAACATTAATACTCATTAAATGTATAAATTTGGAATTCCTCAATAACAACTTATAAAAATATAATATTTCTTAAATCAAAAACTGTTTTGCTTAAAAGTCAATAATTAAGAAGATCATAGGTTAAAAACCATTGCAATATTCTTACTGATATTAAATTGTTCCCAGCCTCTATTTACTGTGATTAGACTGCTCAATGGAAATGCATATGCAGTTAATGCATATTGATACCCAGACTAATAAGTCAGTCTACCAATAGGCTTTGTGCTATTTACATGTGTTCAAGTATTTGACTGGTCCTGCAGTCTTTATAATGACAAACTTACAGCCATATCATTTTGAAACACTGGTTCTTGTATGATCATTAAAGATAAGCAACATCGAGCCTGGTTCGTACCTAGATGGGTAACCACTTGGGAATACCAGTTGCTGTAAGCTTGGATGTGCAGGTGGTGTAATAAATAATGGCTTGGAATTGCAAATCAGAAAGCCAAGTTTCAATATCATTCAATCTTGTTATATTAACTTAGATGTAAATACTCTTGATAAAGGTATGTATCCACCTGTTCTACTCCTTAGCTATAAGTTAATTAGTAGGACTTGCATAAGTAAATGATTACTATCCCCCAAATCTTTACAATCAAAAAATATTTTTTGGCTTTAGATAACTGACAAAACGTTGATAAGTTGTGAAAAACCAAATCAATCAATTCATTTCATTCTACTTTTGATACATTATCCTCTATGTCTGCCATGTGTTCTAAGAATCCAAGTGCATGCAGAGCATATTTCTTTTTTGTCTTTACTATTATTTGAAAACGTCTTTTTAAAGTGGATCTTAGCCTTGAAAACAAAATAAATATTCACAGAAGTCAAACCCAGACAACAGAATAAGGTAACTGAGGGATGAGAATTATCTTTACAAAACTTCATAGATAAGTTGTGACAGAAGAGCAAGTGTCTTATTGAAATGCAGCATTCAGGTTTTGTTTGTTTCTGCTTTAGGACTCTTCCTTGACACTTCATTTCTCAAGACCTTCCTCTATGCCATGAACCTTCAGGACATTAGCAATATTGGCTCTCCAAAATTTCCTGCCTTTTTATTAGCTCTCCTAAACCCTGTTCTGCCATTCATTTACTCAAACTTGCTAGGTAGGTTGTGCATTGTTTTCCTCTATCCCACCTACCTTAAATCTCTCCTCTGAGTATCAAATTTTCTGAGCCTTCTTTCCTCATTATGAAAACTAAAAAATTTCAACACTTTCTGATGTTAAGTGTAAATGTCCTTTTTTTTTCAGTTTACTCTAAAACTTTGTTGTTGCTCACATGTTCAGTCCATAGAATACTCAGCATCCTTCTGTAGGACTACATTCCTGTTACTTAAAGTCTCTTCTTCATATGTGAGGAAATTGTCCCATATATAGGAGGACTAATATTATATAACAGTTCAGTATGCTTTTCTTTGTTTCAGGTGAAATTTTCATGTTTCTTAATACTTTGCTTAGCCTTTTGGAAGGCATCTTTTACTATTGCAATGCATCTTTGGTATTCAGTGTCATACTTTCTCTATTAAAACACTTCCTAGATATTTAAATTGTGGTACTTGTTTTATTTTTGGTATCTTCTATTTGTAATTTCTATGTTGAGCAGTCTTTATTCACCACCATCTGATCTTGTAGAACTCCTGATGAACAATGCCCTTCCAATTGAAAAGTGATATTACCTTCACATTTGAGGGTGTATATCACATGTTATTTGTTGGTGGCATTACATACATCACAAACAATCCTTCAAGAAGCTTGTTACAACACCAGAAATGTCTTTGTGATAGGTTTATCTAATTTGAAAGAAAATGTCATACAGACATGATTTTCTTCAAAATCCTTTATTATTTAACTTGTAGAAAAATAAAAAAAAGGACCATAAATGCATTCATTCTAGCATTTGTAGCTTTGTTACTAACTAATGTGACATGATGACAATTTTTTTGTTCAGTACAAATGGTCAAGCTCACTGCCATATAATATTTCAGTCATAAGTATTCTTATTTAATTAGAGAGCTGCTTTAAAAGTTTTGTTTCACTTTTTGACATACCATATATTTTATGCAAAGTAAATAGTCAAAATGAAAAAGGTCTCTAATGTCATAGTTTAACTAAAGTAAAATTATTTTTTTTTCTTTCTTCCTGAACATCCAAATTTATAATATAAAAAATGTTTCAAGATTTTTCATTTTTTTAAATTCTTCTTTTTTAAATTGTTTGTTTTCCCATAAAGCTCAGAGTAAAAGTTTTAAGGTGGACCATGAGAAATTATCAAATCTAATAACGTCCAATAGAAAAATGAGATCTTTCTTCAGACTGGGACCCTGATTATCTCTGTACCCTGGGGTGTAATTGCCAATTCGTATTATCCTCTTCTGCACTACAGGCTCCCACACTATCAGCTTGTCTCACTGACTCGTTTTATATATGAAGTCTCAATTACCAAAAGTTTCCTGTTGTAAAGATCATAATCATTGAAGAGTTACAAACAGTTTAGCAGTATTTTTCTATTCATGATAAGGGTTCTCTTGAGATTTACATCAGATGTACAGACCAGCCTATATTGCTTTGTCTTATAAACTTATTTATTAAAGTCAAACAAGTTTAATTTTGGTCACACTCTTTCAAAACTTTTATGTACTCAAAATATAACTGACAAAAACCTATTCATGTTCTTCATAGAAGCTAAAGGTGCTTAAAGTAAAGATCATAATTTGTGTTTTGAATACAAGCAGAATATTTTCGTTGAAACAAAATATTTTTATAAATGAAAATGCATGTTCTTAAATAGCCTTATCAGATCAAGACTTTTATATGGATGCAATGAAAGTGGCCTGACCCTTTCAGAAATAAGTAAACTTTCAGCTTTATACATCTGCTTTCTTAGATCAATTGTTAAAAATGGCTTTCAGCAAGTGAAGCCTATGGGTTTTTGGAAAGACCACACTTCTTCAAACCTTATGAACTGGCACTAAATAATCACAAAGAACTGTACCAAAAAACAGAAACCACATCACTTGAAGACTTTCAACAGCAGCAACAATTAAAATGGATAGCACATCTAATTCAAAGAGAAAATAATGGTATACTCAAGATTCTTGTGTTTCACATTACTTCAAATAAAAAAACTAGGAAGGAAACCATCATCACTACTGGAAAGAGTGATAACATCTACTGGACTTGAGAAATCTATTTTCCTGAAAAATTGTTTTAATATAAAGATTTTATAAATTTAAACTGATAGCAGTACTGGCTGCTCATTCAATGAATGCCAAATATTTCCTTATAAGGAAACAGCTAATATTACCATTAACAATTTTAGCAATAAAGTACATAAATACATAAATTACTTATGTACTTTATTGCTAAAAAAGCAGCTGTTTTTCTTTTTTTTTTCTATAAAAATTACAGATGAAAATCTGATCTTTTATCATTATTTTCCTTTATAGAGAAATAAACAAAATATCTCAAAATAAACGTAACTCTATAACCCTGGCTTAGTTTTTGTGGTAGAAATGGGATCTGGCTGTAAAAGATATATTTAATATAAATAAATATGTATCTCTTTCTCCTTATTGATAAATAAATATACCATATTGATATTGAATATTTCACAAGTAGCCAAAAGTATTTATGGCTGGAAGGTAGAATTCTACAGGACATTTTATAATCTATTAATATTAAAAGAAAATCTGTTCATTAAACACTTGAATCTCTTCATAACCTTTCAAGTTCAAATCTTTTTTTGAAAATCATTAAATTACAGAAATAAAATTTTACAAAATGAAAACAACAATTTTATGTATATATATATATATATATATATATATATATATATATATATAATGTGGAAGACAAATCGTCTCTTTCATGAAATGCTTTTCAGCTGAATGCTTGAATTATGTTTTGAAATTGATAGAAGTTTAATCTCTTGAAGACATTTTTGAAAATGAAAGACAGTAAAAATGAACAGTAAAAGTAAAAATATGAGGGAAATGAAACCTATTGGTTGTTTTAAATGGGGAAACTATTTTCTCCTTATGTGTTAAAATAATTTATTTTATTAAAAAATAACAAAAATGCAAAGAAAAATGTTTAAACAAGGTGGTGATACCATTGACAAAGCGGGAGGGGGGAATATATTCAGTTTAGGCAAAGTTATGTGTGAAGTGAATCATGGATTTAACGTACAATAAAAAAATAAAATAAATGTAAAAGCATGAAGAATGTAAGAAAAATGATAATACTAATGTTATTAATAATGAAAATAATAAAATTGAGCCAGACTAATTACAAATTCAAATTCCTTTTTTTCATAAATATTCAAATCTAATTATGTTTTTAGAAAATTTAATATTTGCTTTATCAAACAATTTCAATACATGGACGAAGAGGAATAGTCACATGAAAATTGGGATGACTGATAAATATACAAGTGAGAAAGCTTCATTATGCTGTTTAACAAAAATGATTTTCTTTTTAATTTTCTGATTGGTATATTTTTAGGATTTTCTATAAGATATTCAGTTCTTACAGTAATGTTATATCTGGGATGTTGTTTACTTCTTGTTTTGAAATCTGTTGACAGTTTTACATTGAAAAGATATCTGCCTTCAAGCAAAATCTACTCATGTTTGCATAAGCCCACAAACTGTCACAAGAAAGTTTCCTTTGAGTGGAACGGAATGATGTTGATTAAATTCATAAATGCTGTACTGCTATTTTTGTTGCCATTAGTATTATTATAAATATTATCAGTATTACTACTACTACTACTACTACTTCTATTCTCGTGTTCACACTAGATGCCTAGTGGTTATTTACAACTGAATCACTATAAACCTCCTCAAATTTCCGACACCTTTCTCAATATTTACATTATTCAGACTATTGTCCTCATCTTTGTTGCCATATTTATCACAACGTTTCGGCCGTTGTATTTTCTGGCCTTCTTCAGGTGGCTAGACACATGGCACAGTGGATAAAGGCATTGGTTAGATCCAGTGACAGGACCCAAAGATTTGTGAGTTCAATACCTGGTTAAGGCGGTGGAGAACTTGGAAAGGGGAATTAAGAGGAGATAACTGATAACTGACTTCCATTAGACATGGCATGTGGAACTAGAACAGCCTCCCCCAGCAAGCGAAATAAAGGGTTCAGTTCGACATTTCAACCACCTGAAGAAGGCCAGAGCGTACAACAGCCGAAACATTGAGTTAAATATGGCCACAAAGATAAGGACAATAGTCCAAATAATGTAAATAGTGTACATAATACCTCATCTCAGAAATATAGACAGATACCTTTCTCAATGTAGTAAAATCAAATATCATGTAAGTAGATATAGAGAGTAGATATAGATAACTTCCTTGTTCTTGTCCAGGGAAGACTA